CGAGGACGACTTTGCACCGGCCCAGGACGAGAGCTGCGATAGTCCGCCTATGTCAGCCCAGTCAAAATTCGCTGGGCTGACCGAAAAAGATAAAATAGTGCAGATCCATTTTGACGAGGCGTACACCAACCACGCGACGGTGTACTCTCGAGTAGATGATGAACTGCGGGGCTGTGATAGTCTTCGCAGCACGAAGCCTCCTCACCCCTTTCAACATAGTGCTGGGCAGCTATCCCCGCGTAAAAAGCCAAAACAACATGGGATGGGCCTTGAGAAAAAGCATAGAAGCGGCTGAAGAATTGGGGTTGGACGTGAGAGCAGTCGTCTGCGACAGAAATGGGGCAAATGAGCAATATATAAAAATATTTGGGAAGAACAAAATATATTATAGAAAGCGGGCAGACGGCAGCACACAATGCATCCGGCATTATCCGCATCTATTAGAAACAATTCTGCGCAATATAGAAACGAACAAAGACCACTATGATCTTGGTGTAATCTCTGCAGCGGCAAATTTGCGGCCGAAAAATTGTGCTATCTCCAATCAAAGAGGCTTGATGCCGGCCTACAGCAAGAGATGGGGCTTGGCCATTTCGATGCAGACAATGAGCGACTCGCAAGTCGCAACGCTACAAGCGCCCATCGATAACGAGGAAGTAGACAATACCGACGGAAAAGCGCAAGACGTCTGCGACTTTACCGCGGTATTTACGTCCTTCCTCAACGTCTTCCACCGGGACATGATAAGCCGCGAAACTTGGCCGGAAAAAAAACAACAATTAGAGGTCGTAGAAGAATACTTAGAGAGAAAATTTATTGGGGCCCTAATAGCTTATGACACCCGCACAACAATCATAAACTTCAGCGCAATTATGGAAGAGCTGCTGGAGGCTTACCCTGACGAAATCATCGCGCCGTACATTGCGAGGAATGCCTACAAGAGTTCACGATGAACGAAGACACCTTCTGTTATTTGAAACAAGGTCGCAAGGTTGCCAGGAATAAGCTGAATAGTCTGACGTGGCTTTCAAAATATTTGAAACCAGATTTACCAACCGAAGAAGTCAATGAAGCTTTCCAAAGAGCATACGAAATTTTCTACGCGACAATTAGGCAGTACATGACGGCAAAAAAAATAGGCATGCGGCTACAAGCAACGGTAATAGAACGAGTTCCCTTTTTCCGAAGACCAGGATTATGCAGCAGAGTGAGCTGCACCGAAGGAACTTGCTCGGGTTCCTGCTGATAACATTACTGTCCGGAACAAATTTCAGAGAGAAAATAGACACAAACATAACGTGGGCCTAAGTTCCTCTGCGCGCCATCTCCACCCTCCTCGCAATACTCGTTGCGTTCCAATGGTAAGTTTGCATATATCTTTAATGATTGCCATTTATAACTTAATTATTTATTTCAATTTAATTTCAGATTAACAATATATAATTAATATATTAATGCAGACATGCCTCTCGCGTGGCTATGCGAAAACGTTTGCTCTGACATGTCGTACATCGTGCAAAATATAACACGCATTGCGGGCGATTGTCTTGCGTAATAATGATTCGATACTTGCAGGGCATATATTGCAAGTGTGCAAATTGTTTGAACGACAACAGTGGGATTTCAAAAGTCCTATGCATCAGTTCTAGCATATCAATATCGAGAAAAAATTAGAAAACAGAGGTGTTAGCTTATACACACTTCGTGAAATAGATATCGCTAAAGGATTTTAACTTTTAGTGCTACCGGATCACCATCCCCCTCTTACCGAAACCTATAGCTGTAAATGCTCTGAAAAATCTATGAATCTTTAATAATTTTACGCATTTCATCGTCTTTATCATACTGATAATAACGTTTTGCTGGAGTCACCCACAAGTTCAGATAAAACTGTAGTGGCGGAAATCGCCATACAATAATAACAAAAGAGCTAAGGTTGTTTATATTGCGCCTTTGAAAGAATTAGCGATTGGATTCTCAACTGATAGTTACCACACCAAAAAAACGGGATGGTATCAGCTGGTCTTGCTAGACAAGAGAATATGTACAGGACGTTGTACTAATTGTTATAGACGAAATACATTTTGTAATTGTATCATGTACGAATTTCATTACGTCAACATAGGATGCAATATACGTTGGTTTATCTACTGCTTTTACCAACGCTCAAGATCTCGCCATTTGGCTGGATATTAAGGAAATGGGGTTATATAATTTTAAACCTTCCGTAAGACCGGTTGCTTTGCAAGTGCATATAATTGGATTTTCCGGTAATTAAACCGATTTTCATAACATTTCTGACTCTTCTTTAATGATTTATTTGCAGGCAAACATTAATGTCCACGGATGGCCACCATGAATCGGCCGACATTCCAAACAATACGCTCTTATCCGGCAACGGGACCCAGCATAGTTTTTGTTTCATCCCGCCGTCAAACTCGATTAACCGCTTTCGATCTGATTACTTAGAGGCAAATGAGATAACGATAGAAAAAATGTGTTGCTCTAATATATTTCTTCTTTTCTCCTTTGCCAGATACTGGATTATTTACGCTTACGCTTGTGGTAAACAGTATGGGAAAATTTTTAAATACAAAATTTTATAGAGAAAGCTAAGAACAGAAAGCTATTTGCACTTATTTCTGTAGTTTCGTTGTGTTCGTTTCTATTTAAATTTTCCATTTTACTTCTTTTTATTTAATTTTTATTTATTTTCCAAATGTCCTTATTAGCACCACTGTCTCTTTGAGCAACCTTTACCCGGTTTATATACAGCAATACCGGCCATGTCAATTGGGAAACTATCGTTGATAAAGGCATTAACGTTTGCTGCCAATTCATGCCTTCTTCGATTTTAACATTGTCAGCAAATAAAGTTAAAGCAGTAAGCAAGCCTTTGGAATTTAACACGTCGGGATCCTGTGCATTTAGGTTGAAATTTTACGCATAGGTTTATTGCTGTTACGTTTAATAGCTTCATTTGTTGATCTCTATCTACCATCGCTTAGTCCGAAATCTCGAAGTAAGTCTGATGAATTGGCATCGAATCATCCACTCCATGCGGCAATAAAGATACGGAACTGATTGAGTAACCTTTGCCGAATCGTTTTCTAGTTAATTTTTTGCGGTAATATTATCGCCGCAAGCGATGAATCTTTCGAAGATGGCCTATGGCGTAGACATGAATGGCAAAGCAAGATAGCAGCAAGTT